GGCTTGCTTTCTCACTTTTCTCTCTCTCTCCCCCTATCCCTCTCTGGTCAAAATTAAGAATAAGTAAATAAATAAAGTAAATAAAAAAGTAATTCTTAAAAACACACACACACAAATAAGTAAATCCCAGTGGCTCGTGAGAACTTCAGAGAAAGAAATGACATAAAACCATTGCAAGATGGTGACTCTATACTCATTTCTTGAGTGAGAAGATCCTCATATCAAATTTAAAAAGGCTTCTAGCAATTCAAGGGCCTTTTTCTCAACTGTGGACTGAATCCTTAACAATATTCTATTCTCTAGTAATGAATGAGTTCTACATATATGCAATATTTTTTTTTTCAAAGAGAGATTTTTGCTATAGTGTGTATGTACTCCCTGGAGAGACAGAGAGAGAAAGTGAGAGATTACTTCCTAGGGGGGATAGCCATGCTGCTATCCCTTCTCCTCCGTTCTCTTCTTAGAATTTTGGACATGCATGTACACGTTCCTAGGTGTGAGTTTCAAGGTGCTGGATTTGGGACTCAAACCATAGTCGGCTATGTGGGAATCCAGCGCCTTAACCACTACACTTGCTGATCCCCATATATGCAACATTTCTTTACAACACAGACACAGAATGAAAAGAATCTCAGAGAAAGGTGCTTAGCCCAGTGTTCTTTTTCTTCATTTTTTTTTTTTTTTGGAGAGGTTTGTGCTATACGGTGTGTACGCTCACCAGAAAGACAGAGACAGAGACAGTAGGCAAAAAATCACCCCCCAGGGGGATGGCCACCCTGCAATCCCTTCTCCTCCATTCTCCTCTTGGGATCTTGGGCACTCACGCACACGTACACGCCCAGCATGAGTTTAAGCCACTGGGTCCAGGACTTGAACTGCGGTCAACTACACGGGAGTTCAGTGACACAGCCATTATGCTAACTGCTGGTCCCTTTTGTCTTCATTTTGACACTGATGACCTGGAGGCAGTCTTTGAGAACCAGCAGTTGATTAGGATTAGAGGGTAAAAGTTTTGTTCAATCAGTGCTGTTTGTGTTCAGAACTTGAGCCTGCGGATGTTTGAGCTCATCCATGCTTGTGCTAATACCTCTTATTTATTGAGCACTTAGCATAATGCTTGGCACGTTGTAGTCTTACATGTATCATCACTTGTTGAATTTATTTTTAAATTGCCAGAGGGCACGTGTCCTCATCAGAGAGACAGCACTCCCCAGTGGGGCATGGTCACACCACAATCTCTTCTCCATTCTCCTCTTGGGATTTTGGACACACACGTGCACGTGCCTGGTGTGTTTTCAAGCCACTGAGTCCAGGACTTGAACCAAGCAGTCGACCATGTGGGATACAGCTGCCTTAACCTCCAAGCCACTTCTAGCCCCTCAAGGGAGACTTTGTGTCCTTCACTTTCTGCCAACGTCAAGAGAGACAAATGTCCCTTTTTGCAAGGCAGGTTTATTATTTTATTTCCCTTAAAGGAGTACAAGGAACTGAGTATTTTTTAACTGTCCCTTAAAGAGCACAAGGAGCTGCTTTGGGCAGGGCTCTGCAGAGCATGTCTGAAGTAGCCTTGCTGAGTTGAGGGTTTCAGCATACAAGGTGTTCTTGGCACCTGCCCAGATTCCCTTGCTTCTAGTGCATCCCCTCGCCCCCTGGTTTCTGCGAATGAACACAGAGTAGACCAGATGTCCGTTTTGATCTTCACCAAACTATGATCTTTGTACTGTGGAACTCTATGAAAATTGAGCACATAGGTGATTAGAGACTAGGTCATAAAAGGCATCGTGGGTTCCTCCTGGCTCTCCTTCTTGGATCACTTGCTTAGGGAAGGAGAGACCAGCTGCCATGTTGTGAGCACACCCAAGCAGCCACATGGAGGTAATCAAGGTCTCCTGCCAGTAGCCGTGTGTGTGTGTGTGTGTGCCATCTCGGGAGCATATCATTTTTTTAAAGAGGGATTTTTGCTATAGGACATGTGTGTTTGCCAGAGACACAGAGAGATAGAAAGCAGGAAATCACCCTCCGGGGGGATGACCACATCGCAATCTCTTCTCCATTTTTCTCACAGAATTTTGGGCATACACACACACAATGCCCAACATGTGTATGTGCGTATGTTTAAGAAATATTTTATTTATTTATTTATTTATTTGGAGAGGTTTTTTTGCTATAGGGCGCGTGTGCTCACCAGACAGAAAGAGAGAGACATAGAGACAGAAAGCGAGAAATCACCCCCCAGGGGGGATGGCCATGCCGCAATCCCTTCTCCATTCTCCTCTCGGGATCTTGGGCACGCATGCACACGTGCCCGGCATGAGTTCTAAGCCACCGGATCCGGGACGCGAACCACGGTCGACTACGTGGGAGTCCAGCGACATAGCCATTACGCTAACTGCTGGTTCCCTAAGAATTATTTTATTTAACTTTATTTATTTATTTAAGTTTGATCAGAGAGGAACAGAGTGAGAGAGAGGGAGAAAGTGAGAAAGCAAGCATCCAGGTCCAGAACTTGAAACACCCTTGGCCATTTGGGAGTCCAGTGCCCTTAACAATCATGCCACCTGCTAGTCCCCCACCCAGCGTGCATCTTAAGCCACAGGGCCTGGGACTTGAACCGCGGTCGACTATGCAGGAGTGTAGTGGTATAACCATTACGCTAACTGCTTTTCCTGGTGAACATGTCTTTTAGCTCCAGTCAAACTTTCAAATGACTGTAGCCCTGGCTGATAATTTGACTGCAATATCCAGAACCAGTACTGTCTAGCTTAGCACTCCTAAATTCTTGCCCCTGAGAAACTATGTAACAAAGGGACCAGCAGATGGCATAATGGTTACGATTCAAGTCCCCGACCAGGAGGCTTAAACTTCATGCTGGGCATGTGTGTGTGAGAGAGGAGAAGGGATTGTGGTGTAGGTAGCCCTCCTGGGGGGTGATTTCTTGCTTTCTGCCTCTCTGGTGAGCACATGTACCATACATCAAAAACCTCTTTCTCTGGGGTTGGCAGGTGGCATGGTGGTCAAATTAAATAAATTAAATAAAATTTAAATAAAAAGAATTTTTTTCAGAAGTTTTTGCTATGTATTCTTTTTAGAATTGTCATTTAACTTTCTTTCTTTCTTTCTTTTTTTCTCTCTTTCTTTTCTTCTTTCTTTCTCTTTCTTTAAATTTGACCAGAGAGGGACAGAGTGATATATATATATATATATATATAGAGAGAGAGAGAGAGAGAGAGAGAGAGAGATGGGGAAAGTGGGAAAGCAAGCCACCAGGTCCAGGATTTGAACCATGGTTGGCCATGTGGGAGTCCACCACCCCTAATCACCACACCACCTGCCAGCCCCAATAAAAGAATTCTTTAAAAATAAAATCTCTTTCTCTAAAAAAAAAAAAGACATTATATAATAATAAATGCTACTTGTTTTGAGCTGTTGAGTTCTGAAGACAGTCTATTATGCAGCAGTAGATAACAAATACATTTCCTCACAGAAAACTACACTTCACCAGAACAGGATGATTTATGTTTGTGTGAGTGTTTGGGTATATTATGAACCACTGGCAGCCTGACAATAATCACTAGGAGGCCCGTGGTTCAGGCAGGCACTGAATTCTTGTTTCTGTCCCTAGAGGTCAGTATTATCCCCAGGAAGAATGACATTGAAGGCCAAGCATTACCATGGCCACCATCCCTGGGTCTTCCAGTTGTGATTGGTTGCTTTAGATTGCCTGGATTTCTGTGTCAAGTTCTCAGATTGGCTAGCTTAGGTTAATAAGGGTATTTCCTTCCGGAACAAAGCATCTGATACACAGGCAATTTTGGATCTGGGGTTGGTCCTGGGTTCCACAAAGATGAAGCATTGCAACATCTTTAGCCTTGCCTGGAGGCAGACTGGGGTAAAATAAGTTTCCTGTTTCTCCTACTCATATGTCCTCTTCCTACCCTGTCACAGGTTATGCGTGACATTTTGGCTCTGGCTTCAGAAGGAGAAAGAATTGGGAAAAAAAGCCACTGAATCTGGGACTGAAACCAAGGTCAGCCATTGGGAGTCCAGTGATGTAATTGCTATGCTGTCTCCTGGTCCCTGGCAAAGCCTTTTTTATTAAAATTTTTTTTAATTTTAAATTTTTTACATTTAATCACTATACATCATTCTGCTTTCCTAGTGTATGCCCCAGAGGAGGCATCCCGTGGAGGACCACAATATGACACTCACCGAACATAGAATTACCAGAGACAAGACTCTGCATCAATTACCCTTTGCAAAATTCTTCAGAGTCCATCTTCAAGGTCTCTTTCACAATAAGCAGGTTACCAAATCTTTTCAGAACTCGTTGCATGACAAAGCATTTTCTTCCCTGAGTGATCTGTAAGCTTCCTTCTTCACAAGGAGGATGAGGTAAGAACTGTGACTCACTTGCTCCTTTGCCTCGCTGCTTGGAGGGTCCAGTGCTCCGTTTTGTGCTTAGTGGCATCAGCCTTCCCCAGGCTGGGTGCTGGGGCATCACCAGTCTTCCGGCTCACCGTGACTGGACTTTGCTTCAATTATCTCTATTTTCATTAGCTTCTTGGACCTTTTGTTTAAACCATCTGCCCTCCTTTGGATAGAGGTGATGGCTAGAAATGTAAGCCCCTCCTCATCTTTCTCCCAGTCAGTGGGGCTGGGAGGAACCTAGAGGGTGCATCATGGAAAAAGTCTACCAGGTGCTCATAGCCCTGCCCCTTTCTCCAAAATCCTGGAGCTGAGGGAAGCTTTGTGAGTGAGAGGTCCAGGGCTGCCTGGACCAAGGTCCAGCTCGCCACCTAAAGGCAGGTGAAACCATTGCTGTTCCCATTTGGTAGCTGATGGGGCCTGAGACTAAGTAATCAAGGTCCTCACACTAAGTGAGAGGAGAGAGAATGTGCTCGAGTGTGAAAGAAGAGAGGAAGACAGAACAGCAGTTGGGTGTGTAGGAAATGGCGGGATCCAAGGATCAGCCCCGGGATGGGGCTCCTGAGCCTCAACCATCAGTGTGGACGTCTCTGAGCACTTTTTCCAGAGGCTGACTTCTGAGGATGAGTCTGAGACCGGGATTGCACAGAATCTGGTCTGATTCCAGGAGGCCGAGACACAGGGAGGTGCTGAGAGGCAGGCAGCGTGGTCCGGCTGGCAGAACGGGAGGCCCCAGGGCCCTGTGTCTTCTTGTCCAGGGAGGCCCCAGGTCCCTGTGTCTTCTTGTCTAGGGAGGCCCCAGGGGCCTGTACCTTCTTGTCTGGGGTCTGGTTTTGGCTGACAGAGTGAGGTGTGGTCTCTGGAAAATAAACCAAGACAAGGTTAAGGATGTGGGAGATTTTGTACAGTCTTCATTGGAGTTCTCTGGAGCTGCCCTGCAGTATATGGAGATTGTAGTCCTATGTGATGATGGGAGAACTGGCAGATTGCCTCAGGGCTCTCAGAGCACCTTGACTACTTTTGCATAAATAGATCTGCTGGAGGAGTCTGGTATGCTGGCTGGAGAATAAGATTTTGAACTCTTCCTTTAGGCTAGACCCTCTGATCCTAGGTTTTTCTAGAGTATAAAACTGGGAAAATGGTAGTAGCCTGCGGGTTGGATGGTGGTGCAGCAGTAACGCAGCACTTTGCAACGCTGACTACATGGGAAGGTTTCTGGTTTGCAAATAGAGACCTCGCATCATCTGGTGCTACAGTGTCCCTGTCGCAAAATTCCCAAAAGACCACAAGGAGCCGATTCCGATGCAAATGCACAAGGGTTGCTTTCATTCGGGCTCGAGCCAGGGCTCTCAACAGTCACTGACACAGCCAACGGATTAGAGTTGTGAGCCCTGGTGTTAGTTGGGTTGGGTTTTCATTTGGCTGTTAAGGGGGGGAAGTCGAGGGGTGCTGAGGAATGCACTCAGGTGGCTATACATTGGCTGTAGATTTCAAGAAGCATAGTTGTCTTTTACTGATTGGTTTTCAGACTATTAAGTTGGGCAAGAAAGTTACTTCAAGTCTCTGGTATTTCCTTTGTTCTTCTCATTATGACCCTCTCCTACGTGATCGGCTCACTTCCTTGAGATGGTGCTGATTCTCAGCAAGGTGGGTTTAACAAAATGGAGTCACTCTGGTCTTTTAGTGCTGGCTGAGGCTGGGGGTGAACTGCAGTGTCAAGACCCTGTTTGGGACGGGGGCAGAAGATGGTGTAGCGGTTACGTCGCTAGACTCCCACATAACTGACTGTGGTTTGAATCTTGGACCCAATGGCTTGAAACTCACATTGGGTGTGTGGGCTTGCATGCCCCAGGTCCCAGGAGGAGGATGGAGGAGAAGGGATTGCAGCATGGCCATCACCCGGGAGGTGATTTCTCACTTTTCCTCTCACTGTCTCTGTCTCTCTCTCCAGTGAGTGCACATGCCCTAAGGAAGAAAACCTCTTAAACAAACAAAAAAAAGACCCTGTTGGGGGTTCTGTTTTTCTCTTTCAATAACTAACTAACTAACTAATTAACTAGCTAACAGCCTCACAGGGTGACTGCCACAGTCAAATATGATGATGGAAAAGAGACTGTGCAAATTGTTTGGAATCAGATTCAAGCTCTAGCTCTTTCACTTGTTTCCTCTCTCTCCTAACTCCAAGTTAGGGACAATGAATTACCTGCTCTTTACCAAACTCAGTACTTCTTCTTTGGGACACAGAAATGGACTGCATTTCCTGTCCGGGGTGTGGCCTGTGAAGAGTCCAGACTGCTGTGCACCACTTCCAAGTGTGTCCTCTAGGATCCTCCTTTGCACTAGCTTATAATAGGCAAAGCCCCAGTATGGCAGGAGGCACGGTTCCCACATTACTTGTGGCCACCAAGAGGAAATGTGCACTTTATGTGACAAGTAGACTGTTACATGTTTGAACCATTAGCCATTTTGGGGCCTTTTTGTTATAGCAGCGAGCATCATTCTAGCTAATACTTACAAATAACAGGGGTCAAGAGGTAGTTCTATGTGATGATAGGAGAACATGGAAAAGATCCTGGGTTCATATCTTTGGATCTCCTTGAGTATACCAGACACATGTACATGTGCCATGATCTAGGCTGGCCAAGACTGAAGGGTGGATCATGGCATGAAGACCCTGTTGAGAATGACTGTATCTGTCTCTCTCTTACTCTCTCCCTTTCTCTCCCCCTCTCATGGAAGAAATAAATACATAAACTTAAAAAAATTTTAAAAATAAATATATAAACTTAAAAAAATTAAAATGTAATACCAAGAAGTTGGAACACTCATAGAAAAATCCTAATGCCTAAACTATCAGCCTTTTTTGGGGGGGTTAAGTGATATTTTTGCTATAGGGTACATGTATTTACTGGAAAGACAGAGAGACAGAAAGTGAGAAATCACCTCCCAGGGGGATGGCCACATAACAATCCCTTCTTCTCTTGGGATTTTGGGCATGCATGCACCCACGCCCAACGTGAGTCTCAGCTCTGGGACTCGAACCATGGTTGACTACTTGGGAGTTCAGTGACATAACCGTTATGCCATCTGCTAGTCCCAATTCTCAGAATTCTGATCTTAAGTTTGTGTCCCTCTAAAACTCGTGCCTTGAGATTTGGTTCTGAAGGTATTAAGAGGAAACTTAACACATTTATGATGTTCAAAGGTGGGGCCTTTCGGATCGAAGAGGTGATTAGCCCTGATTGACTCCCAGTAGGTTTATAAAAAGAGAGAGAAGCACTCACAGAAACACACATCTCTGTCAAGGGGACCCCCTGCATCGTTTCTGGAAGCCACCAGCAGGAAAATTCTTACCAGGTGTGACCTCAAGACCTTGGCCTTCCAAATCAGGAGCTGAATAAACCTCTATTCTCATAAATATTCAAACTCAGATATTTTCTTTTGTTAACAACAGAATAGACTAGAACATGCCCTGTACACCTTTCCATGGGGTCTTGTAAAAAGCAACATCATGAAAAAGAACTTACCTTCCTTGGTGAGCTGGAGCTGGACAACATTTTTGGAGTTACTCTTAGGTGTGTCTTCTGAATCTCTGACTGCGGCTTTGCCTTTGACAGATTTGTGGCTCTTCTCAACTTCACGGAGCTGCAGGGAAAACAACCACATGGCTGGTTTTGGCCAGGGAGTGCGCGTTTGTGGCTCAGAGTCAGGATGGAGAAAGCTAGAGAAGGACCACATGTTTAGTTCCTAGGGACTACCCTAAATGGCCTGTTATTAGTCCTCATAGCCGATTGGAGAGGGAAGCCTAAGACTAATTTGCACAGTATTGGAAGGAACATTGGTCAAAAGACAGAAACTCAGTCTGTATTTCAATGATTTTTTATATCTGGGCAAGAGCACGGGGAGGTGAACAGAAGGAAATGTAAATGGAGCACCAGTAGCAAGACCAGATTAGTTCCAGAAGGGACACAAGAACGTGACCTTTAGGGTAAGTGTATATCAGGAGAGAGCAGTCAGTATTCGGGGTGTCAGATGGGTTGTTGGAAGAGAGGCTACCTGAGTATAAAGGGGGCTCTGGAGACCTCTGAGACTAGGGCCACAAGCGATAACGATATTTTGTGATCGTTTTGATAACAGTATATTTCTTAGTATTTATACTATTAGTTTTTAATCTATGGGAATAATTGTGGATATTGGACTTCATATGAGCACTGGTTGAACTCATTGAAGTTCTGTGATTTTTTTTTAGCAACCATTCAGAATTTAAGTCATTTTTGTTATGGATCCCCAAATATCCTTGTACTATAAATGCATGCTGTTGAATCTCATAAGGCTACTACCTAGGGTTCAGCTATTTTGGAATTTGATTTAGAAGAAAGTCATTTAGACCATACAACTGAGCTCACAGAGCATATTAGCAAAAGCCATCTTTTCCCCTTTGAGAACAAAATTCCTGACAGACTCACCGCTTGGATTTTCTTCCTCAGCTGGGCGTTAGCCCGGGAAAGGCTTTTGGAAACTGAGTTCAGGTAGTAGATGGCCAGGCTGCAAGAGAAATCATGCTCCCTGGGTCCTGTGATCTTGGAAAACAAGAGCTGGCCACCTTTCCTGGGCTTCAAGGCAGGTGTCCTGGACCAGGTGCTGAGGCTTTGCTCTGGGCAGAGATGAGAGGTTCTACCTTCCTACCTTCTCTTCTCAACATGGAGAAGGCCTTGGTCACCTTCACTTCCTCTCTGTTTTACTGAGTGTGGGATGACCTCTACCCCTCTAGCTCCTTAAAGGTTGACTAATGAACTCACCCCTCTGCTGACTCACCTGGGAGGTGGGCAGTGGCAGGGTTTGTGGGCAGTGGCAGGGTTTGTGGTCCCATTTCTTGTACACCTGCTCTGTGCCAGGCTCTGCATCCTGTACACACATACCTCATTGATTTTGATGAAAACCCCATGAAGAAAAAGGATGACTCCTGTGTTCAAAGACTGGTACCCCAGGATTCAGAAAGGTCGAGAAATTTGCCCAAGATCACCCCACCCATTGATACTCCTTGGATCCCACATTTAGAACCAAAGCTTTTTCTATAATCTTCAAGTCCTGAGCAGGGGAAGATGGAGATGTAAGTGGCCTACTCCAAGTTACCCTAGAAGCAGCTTCAGATGGCCTGAATGTCCCTTGTTCAGGGGGCACTGCCACTCTGCTGCTGGCCTTGTGATTGTGAGAGTCCAGCCCCCATTGGCTGGCTAGGGGCTGGGTATCCTTTGAGATAGCAGCCTGGGTTTCCCTTTCCTAGGACCTAAGGTCTGGGGCTATGACTTGGACTGTACTACCCCTGAAATGGTTTCCACACTAGCATTTTTTCTTGTGCCCACAAAGGTCAAGTTTAGTGTACGGGTTCCAGAATTTCCTCAGGAGGTCACAGGCAGTCCAGTAGTCACTGTCATGGTACCCCTCTTATGCCAGGATTAGAAGCAGAGGTTGGTTTGAAATAAAAGATTTAAGCCAATATTTATGTGTTTGCTACTGGCAATGGCAAGGTTCCAAGAGCAGACCTTTACACATGGGGGTTATGTGAATGAATGAATAAATGAAAGGATTCTGCATCCATTCTGCACCCCCCACCCCCACACTAGGGCTCTGGAATCCCTGTGAATCTGCATCCATTTCCAGAAAGCTCCTAGAGGGGCTGCTGAAAGGAGAGGTGCCTTGCCACTGTGGCCCTTCAGCTCCCCTCCAGGACAGCAGCTCTGGAGCAGCAGCTGGGAAACTGACCACAGGCTGGGGAAGCGGGGGATGACGGGGTGTGGGCCCATCAGAGCAACTTGGAGTTAAAGGTAGCACTGAAAAAGGGCTTCGGAGGCCACTTGGTACCCAAAATTCTGACAGAATAGAGAAATGGTGGAGAAGGGACTGCAGTGTGACCATGCTCCACCGGGTGGGTTGGGGGAGTACTTTCTTCCTCCTCTCCATCTCTCTCTGTGTCTCTGTGACTCTCTCTGGAGAGTGCATGTCTTCCTGAAATTAAAAAACAATAATAATAATAAAATTAGGAGGATCGCTATCTCTTTTTCTTGAACCTGGGTAGGCCTTCATGGCTGCCTTGGGAGGGTATGGCAGCAGTGATGGAATGCAACTTCTGAGGCTGGGTTATAAATGTGCTGTGCATATCCACTGTGATCTCTGGGGATGCCTGCTCTTGGGACCCAGGCAGCAGGCTGTGAGGAAGCCCAGGCAGCCGTGAAGAGGAACTGAGGCCACTAGTTCATGAACCATATGACAGTGTCCAGCACTTTAAACACCATGCCACCTGCTGGCCACTCCCTATATAACTTTCATCCACATGTTTGGAACCCAGTAAAAATGACATGTCATTCTAAAAATAGGAACAAATAAGACTGAAAAACAGGGGAAAAAATGACAAATAAATAGACCCATTGGTCTATTTTAGACTATCAGGTAATGGATTATCAGATAAGGATTTTTTTAAAAAAAGTGTAATTACTATCTTCAAAAATTACCAAGATAGAAAATTTCACTGGAGAGTTGGAATTTATAGAAGAGTCAAAATGTAACACCCATTTTGGAGAGCAATACCAAAAAAGATAGAAGAAACATACCTGTGACCCAGCAATTCCACTTCTAGATGGCTACCGTAGAAAAACTTAAAACTGCACATGGGGCCAGCAGGTGGCATGGTGGTTAAGGGCACTAGATGCCCACATGGCCAACCACATGGTTCAAGTCCTAGACCTGGCGACTTGCTTTCTCACTTTCCATCTCTCTCTCTCTCTCTCACCCTGTCCCTCTCTGGTCAAACTAAAATAAATAAAGTAAATACAGTGGGTCAAAATTGGCAGGGAATTGACTTTCTCCAGGGGCTGATGGGAGCTGGTCTGCAAGTGGCCAGATCTCTCAGCCTGATGCAGGGATAATTATGAGGCACAGTGTCTCCTGGAGCTCCCCAGCAGGATTAAAATCTAGTCATCATCCACAGTGGTAATCATGCATTCTCTTCCCTTCCCTGCCTCAATTCCCTAACTCCTCCCTCAATAAACTACTTGCATTTGCATTCTTCTCACAGGGTCTGCTTCTGGGGAATCCATACTTAGAGAACAAGAAAGAACCTTCCATGAAAGTCACAACGGCAAGAGGAGATTTCCAGGAGGCAGAGCCCTGGGCCCTGGCTTGCTTACAACATCAGCAGGATGGCTGGAATGATGAGGCCTGGATTGGCAAGGAACGCAAAGATCTTGCCCAGGAAGTTTGGGAAATCATTTTCAATGGTCTCTTGGAGGACGTCATACATTCTCTTTTTCCCACTGCAAAGAGGAGAGGACACATTATGGCAGGTTGCAAATCATGTGGCCTACACAACCATGTCCCTGCCCAATGGGCCCAAAGCTGGCACTTGGCACTACTTTCCTGGAAGAAGCAGAGCTCTGCTTCAGATGGACTGCAAGGAGAAGATGCCCCACCTAGGCTGCCATCTGAGCTATGCTTGTTGCTGAGTCAGCACCCTGGCTGACCAGCATCATGTCCTCTAGACCTTGCAACCTTGCAAACTGCATTGGTCTTCTGTGTTGACACCGTTCTCAACAAGAAAAAAAATGGATTTTCTTAAATATTGTTTTAAAACAATTTAAAAAATTATGTATTGAATTTTATTTACCATTTTTATTATTTTTTAACCTGCTAAAGGACATGTGTGCTTACCAGGGAGAAAGAGCGAAAGTGAGAAAGTAAGCCATCGGATCTAGACTCAAACTACGGTTGGCTATGTGGGAGTCTAGTGCTCCAACCACCACACGATCTCTGGCCCCATATATTCTGTTTTTAAAAGTTTGCTTGAGGCCAGCAGGTGGTGTGGTGGTTAAGGTCACTCGACTCCCATATGGCCGGCCAGGGTTCAAGTCTTGGGCCTGGCAGCTTGCTTTCTCAGTTTCTTCTCTCATTCTCTCTCTCACTCTGTCCCTCTTTGATCAAATTAAAATAAGTAAATAAATAAATAAAGTTAAATAAAAAGAATCCTTTAAAAAAAAAAATGTTTGCTGGGCCGGGCAGGTGGTATGGTGGTTAAGGGCACTGGATTCCCACATGGCCGACCACCACGGTTCAAGTCCCAGACCTGGCGACTTGCTTTTTCACTATCACTCTCCCACTCTGTCTGGTAAAATGGAATACTACTACTACTACTACTAAAAAATAAAATTGAATAAATAATTTTTAAAAATGTTTGCTTATCAGGGCTGGCAAACAACAAATAAAATAAATAATTTTTTAAAATTTTGCTTATTTATTTCTTTAGAAAGAGAGAAATCCTCAAAGGGGTATTCACACTGTGATTTGCTCCCAGCCTCAAGCAGCCTGGATCATGGGCATGTGCACACCTGTACCTGACACACACAGGGAGGCCTAAGGATACTGCTGCCTCAGTCACTTATATTGCCTGCTGGGCCCTCTCAGCATTTGATGTGGTCTACCCCTAAGTCCTGCCCCATTTGACTGAATTTCTGTGAGGTAACAGGTCTAAGCTGAGCATCAGCCCTAACCTGGTGTTCTCTTCTAGACCCTGGATAAAAAGCATTGAGAAAGAAAGCAAAATGCATGGCTCCTGGAGCATATGTCTTGGTGGGGGAGAAAGACAATAAACAAGATAAATAAGCAAAAGTTTTGAACAGAAACAAGATGTGTGTGTATGCATGAGAGTGTGACCTTTTAGTTAGGGTCTCTAGGGCAGGCTTCTTCGAAAAGGTGACCTTTGAATAAAGACCTGAAGCAAAGGAGAGGATGGCTGTGAAAATATCCGAGGGATGAACGTTCCCAACATGGGTGTGTTTTGATCAGAGCCGTGACAGGAAGGAGGTAGCAGCCATGTTTCCTTCTGAGTTCCATTTTCAGGTCCCTTGCCCGATCGGAATGTGGGTTATCAAGGAGGCAGAGGGAGGAAGTACCCCCCAGTGAGGCATGGTCACACTGCAATTCCTTCTCCTCCATTTCTTTTCCTTTTGGGATTCGGGGCACTCACACACATGGGCTTGGTTTGTTTGAAGCTGCTGGGTCAAGGATTTGAACCAAGTGATTGGTCATATAGGGTTGGCTCCCTTAACCACTAGGCCGTGGGCTGGTCCTGCAGTGGGCATGTCTAAGTGAGAAGGGGCAGCATGTTCCAAACCGCTTTACCACAGTACCCCCTCCCTTTCTTTCTTTTTTTTTTTTTTGGAGAGGTTTTTACTATAGGGCGCATGTGCTTACCAGAAAGAAAGAGAGACAGAAAGCGAGAAATCACCCCCCAGGAGAGATGGCTACACCACAATCCCTTCTCCTCTTGGGATCTTGGACATGCACGCGCATGCGCCTGGCATGAGTTTAAGCCACCGGGTCCAGGACTTGAACCACGGTCAACTAAATGGGAGTTCAGTGATGTAGCTATTATGCCAGCTGCTGGTCCCCCACAGTACCCCTTTTTACAGAGCAGCTAGAGGGCTTTGTTTTCAAAGGGTCACATATTTGGAAAGAGAACACTAGGTGCACATTATTTCTCAGTGCAGCTCCTTACCTGAACTATTTATCTTTTATACAACAGCTAGTCTCCTAAACTAGTCTTATTTAGGCTCTGAATCTACATTGTCGGCCAATGCTCCAAAGAGGGAGTTTGAGAATCTCGTCAAGAGTAGACTGCAGGGGCCAGGGGTGGCATGGTGGTTAAGGCGCTGGACTCCCACATGGCTAACTGTGGTTCAAATCCTGGACCTGGCAGCTTGAAAATCACACTGGGCAAGTGTGCGTGCGTGCCCAAGATCCTGGGGGGAGAATGGAGGAAAAGGGACTGCAGCATGGACATCTCTCCTGGAGGATGATTTCTTGCTTTCTGTCTCTCTGTCTTTCCAGGGAGCACATGCTCCCTATAGCAAAAACAAAAACAAACTAACAAACAAACAAAATCTCTCTAAAAAAAAAAAAAAAGATGTGAAACTGGAACAGGAAGGCCCTCTGAGCAGGCTGCCTGGGGGAGGGGCTACTCCTGTGTGACCAGGACACTGTACCTGAATGGCCCACAGTCAAAGGAGGGTGGGAGTGACATGATGGTATAGGCTACAGGCAGGAGGCTGAGGAAGAGCACCAGCAGCAGGAGGCCCATGTAGAAGTTGTTGGATCGGGAGGCCTTGAATACACGTGCATGGGGGACGTTGCTGCTCATCACGGCCCAGCACTGGAAATACATGGAGGTCAGCAGGCGCAGCACGTTAATGCCCACCAGTCCCGGAGCATAGAAGGAGCCCATCCTGGAAGGGCAGAAACCGGACACCTGGTTGGCCTGATAGCAGGGAAGGCGAGGGAAGGATGATTGAAGGAAGCAGGACTGATGAGTTAGGGCCACGAGGCCATGCTGATTTCACTACAGGGGAGGGGCCTCCCATTTAACTAGAACATTTTTCATTAAGCCATAGCTATCCAGTCCTTCAGGAAAAGTCACTCCAAGCTTCACTAGCTTGGACTCTGGACAGAATTTTACCAGGTCTCGTCACCAGGCATCTAGCAAGTCACACGATCATCCGTTTCTCCAAGGTCTCCATAACATTGCATTGCTGCTCAGAAAAGCACTTAAGTAGGGACCAGTATGTGATGTAATGGTTACGTTGCTGGACTCCCACAT